ATAACAACACTCCCAAATATATCACGGTAATTCAAGAACGTGTCATATTAAAAATAGAAATGAGAAAAAAATAAAAGAGGTGCAGTTAACTATAAGAAGCAATCCCACCAATAGTACTAGAATCAGTTTTCTTAAATATCACAATGATAATAAAAAGATCACAAAAAGTGAAAATATACTATAATGATTCATTCTTCTAAAGAAATAGCATCATTGAGCACAAACACATCATGAAGAAACGCATAATGGAAAAACAATGCACGTGTGGTCTTCTCATCATTCTATGTAGACATTTGTTGTATTCATATTTTTGTTTCAACGTTGTGTCGCATAGTAATTGATGGGATTAATCTCTTCACCACTGATTTTTGATCTAAAAGGCTGTGGCGGTGCTGGTAATGATAAATCTAATGGCGCTCTTAATCGAGCTAAATCAGTATTTACTGCATGAAAACGATTTTTCAATTGATTATAATACGCTACATCAAATTGAACTTTTTTCGATTCACGGTAAAATTTTCTCAAAAATAAACGATCGGTTAGATGTAAGTATTCAAAATCAGAACGAGTTAGTAGATAAACGGCGTATAAACTCATTGATGTAGAAAATGCAATAAAATAAGAAATTGGTTCAACAATATCCTAAAAAAGAAAGAAAATGAAATTAAAATGAAGAAAAACTAACTAGTTTATGTGTAGATTTACCCAGGAATAATCCACCCACGTAAGATGAGCTAACATTCCTACTTGAAATGCCATTCCTGCTAAGCCATACCACACACATCGACTTGTAAATCGTTGAGAAATAGAGGCCAATTTTCCTTTAATCTAATCATAATAAAAATTATACAATTAATTTTCAGTAAAAAAAATTATCATCACTTACAATCTCTAGTGGTGCTAATTGTTTATTCAATTGTTCTAATTCATCTTTGAGTTGTAGTTGTTTTTCATTATACAATTTTACAACATTAATTGCATGATACAGAGCAGCTACTGTATCATTTGTACTAGTCATTTGTGCTTTATCATCACTTTCATTCTTACTCCATCCGAACGATTTTGGTCGAACATTTTTCAAATTTGCTATCGGATCAAATAGATATGTTCGTTGTTTATTTAGACATATAGTAAATTTCATACGCATAAGTGCTTCGACCGAAAATGATTTTGATAATATTTGACCATTTTCATGGAACAGTTGAACTTGTTCAACTCCATGATCTTCATTTTTGATTTCATCGATTAAATGACCTACAGTTGCGGTATGTAAATTGAGATAAAAACGACATGTTTCAGATCGAGATGGTAATACCAATGATAATATTAATACATTGTCAGAAAAAGTAAGGCCAGGCTCTAAATAAAAAAGGACTAGATATTAACTAAGTTTTAAAAAGATTGGAAAGGTAACTGAGTAAGACGATTCTATAGCAATGTGCTAAACTTCATCATATTTAACGATTGAAAAACATCGTTGTTCAATTCTACAGTTATGAAAATTGCATTTTTTTCTACTAACAACGAGAACCAAACGTTTCGATGATTGTACAGACAGTAATCAACTTCTAAGACATGTGGTTTCACTAAATAACGAAATGGTTCATTTGAAAGTAATCATTTTACACTGTCAAGCATCATGTTATTTAATTATCTCATAGGATAAAAACAGTTAATTTCTTGAAAATTTTATTATAATTAAAACACGTAGTATAAAGATGATTTTAATATCCGACAATTTTAATCATCTTCTTTCCAAATTTCTAAGAACAAACATTTCAGAAAACGATTGTGACTCAAAAACAGTCGGCTTAATCAGCCTTTACTCGCTACATACTTCATAAGAGATCAATCATCCTTGTAAAACAAAGTATCGAATATGTTTATTATTTGTCAACGTATGTGTTAGATAAATAAATTAGAAGCTTCTACATCATGATAAAATCTATCTACATTTCAATCAATTACGATCATATCAG